AAACTACTCGACGGCAATTCTTTAAAACTGCCATGATTTTTCTTCTCTGTGCAAAGAAAATTCTGCAAAACTTCAAGGAATGATAGCCACTGAGCGCCTACAAGACTGCGGGAATACTTCACACATTGCGCTAAACGCACAGTGCGATCGCCGGTTAGCGTAGCGCCTACAAGAGTGCACGAATACTTCACGCATTGCGCCTAACATACGTCGATACACTTTTAAAGTGTTTAAATCATGTCCAACCTCTCCCGTTTACTCGTTCCATTGTGCGGCATGCCGCGGCCGGCGAGCGCGTTTCTCGAGGAATTGACAAGCGTTCATGAGACAGCTGAATTGTTGTGCGGGAAACTTGCTCGTGTCCCGGAAGGAATGCCTGCATCTGGGAGCAAGGCGGACCCCCCTGCACGGAGCAAGAATAAAATGAAGGAGGAACCGGAAACTGCAAACAATTTTTCCCTCGTCCGCTCTCGAGCGAAGTAACGAGCCAGCAGGGCTGCCGTGATAGTGAAGAGAGCTGTAAGTGCAAAAATGAAGTTTTGAGAAAACAGGCTCAAAAGCATCTGACCGGAAAATTTTATTGGAAGAAGCCTCCGTTCTTCGTCAAATTGTTCCTAATCGCCCAAAAGACTCCTAGAAATCGTTTGGATGATTATAAAACGCGACAGATTTTTATTTCAATTATATGAAAAGGGCATTTTTCTGTTTCATTCTAGGTTATTGTTAGGCAAGACATCCGTAAGTGGTATCCTCTGCATGCTTTCGTGGTTGCGCTTTGGATACACAACAAATCGACGGTGTAAGTCGGCAATCACATATCTCGGTTTGCGACGTCGCAGACTTCCTGTCATACTTTATTTTTTAAACTGAAAACTACTCAACGGCAATTCTTTAAAACTTCCGTCACAGTACGGTTGCCAGTCGGAGCCAAACGCGTATGAGCGCCTGCAAGACTGCAGGAATACTGCACGCATTGCGCCTAACGCACAGTGCGATCGCCGGTTAGCATAGCGCCTACAAGAGTGCACGAATACTTCACGCATTGCGCCTAACACAGTGCGGTAGCTGGTCGGCGTGAAACGCATATCGACGGTGTAAGTCGGCAATCATGTAAATCGGTTTGCAACGTCGCATGACTCCCTGTCATACGTTATTTTTTAAACGGAAAACTTCTTAACTGCAATTCTTTAAAACTACCGTGAGTTTTCTTCTCTGTGCGAAGAAAATTCTGCAAAAACTTCAAGAAGTGATGTCAATTTGTTCTCCTTTAAAAAAATAACATGGAGGCGGAGATTTTCAGACACCGTAAACGAGTTATGTGATTGCCAACTTACACCTTCGAAATACTTTTTCAGGTTAGAAATACGCAGAGGAGGGCGGCACTTTACTTGAAAGCACAGTTGTTATTGGCTCTCTGGAGGAATATTGTCACTTACTGCTGTCTTGCCTAAAACTATGTCATTTTTTGCGCTTTCACGGCTTTCTCATGTCTCGTTTTGATACAATTAGGATGAATTTTGCTGTTTTAGCTATTTCAGTGATTTCATCTAAAAGAGTTTAGACAAATTCTGAGGGAAACTCGATTTCGAAAATTTAAGACTTGCTGCTCTGTTCGCTATCACGGCAGAATCGTTATCCGGGTTAAGATAGAGTAGATGATTGCGCACGGGAGAAAGTTTGTCAAATAATGAAATCCCGCGGTTGGGTATATCGTATTCTACCTAATATTTTGGGAAGGAGACATTTATTGTGATATTTAATTTTGCACCCTGTCTAATGATCCATTCTCTTAGAAAGAGAGTTAGTGACATTTTGTAAAAGTTGACAACGTTGGTGCGCTCTGCTGAAGTGGCCCTAGCGCCCCAAACAAACCAATAGATCATCGATAAGCACCGTCCGAACAGTCATCCACGAGCTTTTTGGAGCGCGATAAACAATTCCGGGAAAACTCTGCGGAGGAAACCCAGATGAAAAAGTGGTTATTTTCCCAGTGAATGGCTAAACCGTGCGATTACGGCTGAAGAGATTGCTACGGTGCTCTGACCAAGAGAGTTGGATCGTAATGTTGTCGCTTTTCAGCTGCTGTTTAATTTATGATATTTTTTTCTTTTAAATCAAAGTTTCCCTTTAAAACTTCGCATCGTTTTGTCTTAATTTCACAACACCTTTGCTGAACTGAACCTAAACATTTATAAACTAATTTAGAGAGTCCAATCATAGTTTAAATATGATAGTATCAGTCCAAGAACAAAAAAAATAGTCTAATATTTTACTAATTCAAATTGATCTATCACATTAGTATGTTTTTCAGTAGCATGTTATCTAGTTTGACTAATTGAGATATATAATCATGTATTAGTTCTCCAGGAATCGAGGGTCATGCATCCATGATTTCAAACCTATTTTTTGGCAACTTTATGAAGTTGGATTCCACCAAAGTTTCCATTTTCCTCTGACGCATGGTGCTTCTGAAACCGTCAAAAAAATTCAATACTCTAAGAAAATGTATTCTATCGCATATTTTTTGTTGTGACAGAGGGTAAAATACATTTTGTTAGAGTTCTGAATTTTTTTGACGATTTTAAAAGTCCCATGCGTCAGAAGGAAAACGAAACTCTGGTGGTACCCAACTTTATCAATTTTCTAAATAATAGGTTTGAATTCAGTGGCCCAGTAGAGCAACGTTGATTTCGGGTCGTTTCAAAGGCGGGAAGAATTTACCGATTTTAACGTATGCAAACGCTGAATTCTTACTTAATCGGTGAGATCGAAAGCACACCAACTCGAAGGTAACTCGAAAATGCTCAATGTTCTTCAAAGACAGTCAATTTTTATCAAGTTCATTGAAGTTGGCGCATCTGTTTCAACTTTGACCTTTGAAATGTCCTTAAGAGCATGTATTTCGGCACCAAAAATGTTTTTCTTAGACTAATTTCTCCATCTACTGTGCAGTTTTGTGTGTTTCTTGATTACTTTAATTTTTCCGAGTTGGTATGTTTTCGTTCTCACTGATTCACTTATGAGTTAATGTTTAACATTTTTATCATTTTCAACGTGTTTCTCATGAAATTCAGATGAGAAAATGTGTCATCGTGTACTTCAAACCTTACCCTGTCTATAGTTGCTTATTCTTAACTTGTTCAACGGTCCATTCCCAAGGAAATCCGGCATCAATGCCATGCAAATGCAATTTGGACCTGAAGCGATCGAGACGATGACAACATTTTCCGTTTGTTCTTTTTGATGTATGTTTTCCACCCTCCGAAACTCAACGCGGTGTAGATGCGTTTACCCGTGTAGCATAGAGGTGAGCGGGAAAGCTAAACGCTTTGCTTGGAGTAATACGATTACGGCGGCGCACAGTGGATCGAGTCAATTAGCAGAGTCGGACACGAAATTTTTAACTAAAACTGCGAATTTTGATGTTTAACTCGTCACCCGTTAAGTTTTACGGGGCACTGCTTGATGAAAATTTCACGAGGAAACCAATGAAACCAGTTTCAGAACCTCAAAGTTTCGTATGAATGGAGTTATAAGCGTTTAAAGTTTCAAAATTATGTCCGATCTCCCCCATTGACTCGTGTGCGGCGGAAGGTCTGCGCGGTGTAATCTCAAGCGCGTTCACCGAAGCGGAAAATGCGTCGCGCGAAACGCGGCTATTGATTTTCGGCGGGCCTTTGAAACTTTTTCAATACGCGCCCTCAAGATGCGAACAGCTGTTCCATCCCCCTCCCTCGCCCCCTTTTTAAATGGTGTCACGGCGAAACGGAGACAAATAAAGCAGGCTCCCCTCTCGGAGCCTATGGACCCTCCTGAGCCGATAGGTGTGAACGTTGAGATGACTGATTAAAAAACTAATCTAACATGTTTCACGTTTAGCGGTTTGATTTGGATATTGCGCTTGCTCGTTAGAGTCTGAAAGTTTTATAGAAATTTCGGACGCATACATTTTAACTCAAACCTCGAGGTGATAAATTACGCACCAGTGTTTGATTTATTCACGGATTACACTACAGGACCATTTCTACTCAAAATGACCGATATCGTAATGTCTACATTTTTGTCAAAAAGCTCAATGAATTACATTTTCTATGACATCCCTCAATAGACCACTTGGCATGGTAAGAAGTAAACCTCCTGTGTTTAAGTTTGGAGCCATGTGTCGTGTAGAAAATTTAATCTGAGAAAAAGTTATACCATTGGATTCTAACTGGTTTTGAAAAAATTTACATACCTTACACAATCACAAAATGTACAACATACTTATAGGTCGCTTTACAGCACTCCCTCGTGCTCTACGACACCTAACCTTCACTGCCCTTCGTGGAACCACAACCCTTGGGGCATTTTTAGCACCTTAAAAGTTCTGCTTCAATCCCCTCCCTCCATCCTCTCATTGGGCGCCCTCTGCGTCTTCTCCCAGGAGGAACCCAATCAAGGACCTTCTTCGGCAACCTGTCTCCTGCCATTCTCTGAACATGACCATACCAAAGAGCTGTTTCGTCACAATGCTATGCACGATGATCTGTTTGGCACCCACGATCTCTCGTACCGTCTCATTCCTGACGCGATCTTCTCTGCACGGGACCTGAAGTTGAGGTCATATGGATCTCTGAAGTTTTCGGATCACGCATCTGAAAACTTGAGATCCAGCTGCCAAAGTTCGGGTCAGACATCTGAAGTACCTCGATATATACCGGAGGATTCGGGTCACACATCTGAACCAAAGTGCTCTAGTACATACCTTAGTACTTCAGATGTCTGAGCCGAACTTCGAGGCAGTTTGACCTCAAGTTTTCGGATGCGTGATCAGAAAACTTCAGAGATCCATATGACCTTAACTTCGGGTCCGATGCACGAAGTTTTTTTCTCCGTGTGGAAATACCAGCGGATCTAGAGCAACAAGCAGAAGTACAACAACTTTTTTGAGAGTAGCAACTGAATTACAATCGATCGTATAACTTTTGTGAAAGTATCATTAGATTTGTTGTGTGTTTCAGGAGAAGAGCGGGCGGGCACGCGATGGCGGAGATTCGGGAGAACCCCCTGGGGGACGAGCACGTGCTGAGCCTGGAGCTGAAGCAGTGCGGGACGACGACGACGACGACGGGCGTGGAGAAGGACGGCGAGAAGGAGGCCCCGGCCCGGGGGAGCTGGTCCTCCAAGATCGACTTCATCCTCTCGGTCGTCGGCCTGGCCGTCGGCCTCGGCAACGTCTGGCGCTTCCCGTACCTCTGCTACAAGAACGGCGGCGGGGCCTTCCTCGTCCCCTACCTCATCGCCCTCTTCCTGGCCGGCATCCCTATGTTCTTCATGGAGCTCGCCCTCGGCCAGATGCTCACCATCGGAGGCCTCGGCGTCTTCAAGATCGCCCCCATCTTCAAAGGTAATACATACACGTTTTGTACGCCCAGTCTCCACGAGACGTTTCACGGGATTTTTCCCAATTTCGAATCGCAGGAATGTAACTTCTGGGCTTTTCTCCCCCTTTAAAACACAACGAAGTTTCTTCTTCTTCTTCTTCTTCTTCTTCTTCTTCTTCTTCCTTTTCTTGTGAAGTCGTTCCTGGGACTCCACAAAGACTCTTAGTTGGACTACATTTTGCAACAAGGAACCACTATTTCTAGCCCATTTTAGAAACAACATATATGCCATTGGGTTCCCTATGTAGAAAGGTGATTTTATGGAAGAGCCAGAGATAGTGGTTCCTTATTGCAAAATATAATCCAGTTGATTCTGTGATTAGTATTGACTAACTTAATATTTTTCCCAACTTCGCAAGTGAGATTTTTCCCTGGGACAAATCCCATGAAACGTTCGGAGGCCTTGTAGAGCAGCCCAAGGCAATGGTAACTTAATGACAGAAAAACAAGGGGAATAACGGGAAACAAGGCTAAAATACAAAATAAAACATCCGAACAAAATTAATGTCGTTTAAGTGGTTAGATTCACAACTTATTCGCGTAACATCCAAATCCTGGGCCACTATTCCTAAACCTACAGCCAGTTCATTTCGAGACTGTCTTCTATCGATAGCAGCAAAATTGATGAAAATTGGCTAGGTAGATTTACAGAATGACCTTCAGGCTGATTATTGAAATTGAAGGACAAAGCTCTAGACAAAGAAGACAGAAGGTATATGGAGGGATCCTATTGATGGAAGCGGGTGGTTGCAATGGATAAAGGAGCTAGGTAATAGACTAACTAACGAAAGCCGACGAGAGACCCTATATTTAATCCATCATTCGCCCCCTTAATCGATGAGAACCACCCATTTCAGCCAATAGGATCGCTTCATACTCCGTATCTCTTCGTTGTCTATCGCCTTGTCTTTCAATCTAAACTATCAGCGATAAAAGTCGAAATTTACCTTGTTTAAATATATGACTTCGCAACACGTCGCGTCGTCTCCGAGACGAAGGAATGTAACTTCATTCCAAGGTTGTAAAATTGACTAAAAAAATTCCATTTTTCATGAGAATACATACGTGAACAATTTTCACTTAACATTTCTCTGATTTTCGCAAGAACTCAGAAAAAAATCAGGGAAATTTTTAGTTAGAAAAACCCAATATTCTTTCGGTATAAATGCAATTTGCGAGGGAAAATACGACTACCCTGGTAAAAATTGGCAGTAGAATCTGTGTTCCAAAATACCATAGACCTAAAGCCGGCTGTAAGATTTCCAATAGCTTCTGTAGCCGGCTGTACAATTTCTTAGAGCCTCTTATAGCCGATGACGATTAAGCAACAGCCAGACAATAAAGTTTATACTAAACGTTACTAAATACGGATACCAGGACTTAGTTAGTTTTTGGACTACCGCTCTCTTTTTGTGCCGTAGTATCTTGATTTATTTTGCGGGGAAAGCTCCGTACTTTTGAAGGATGCCTGTCATTCTTAATATGTTGGAGCGCCTTCAATTTCTTATGATACTGTGCAATACCTCTGGTGTGAAATAGTTGCTTCAGACGCCGTGGCACGCTGAGGCGCGGCGGGCGGGCAGAGAGCGCGAAACGCGCATTGGCGCCTTCAAACCTAACAGGGATACTTCACGCATTGCGCAATGCGTGAAGTATCCCTGTTAGGTTTGTAGGCGCCAGTGCGTCGTCGCTCCGCTTTGTGTTAGGCTCTAATATTTAATCTCGCGGAGACAGCGTTTTTGAACTCATGATTTTGAAATGTTTACACACTCTGTATGGATTAGTCTTATTTTAATTGATGAAAAAAATATGTTTTAAAGGAAAATAGAATGTGTGTTTTGTAAATATTAAGGTAGTTCCGTATGAAACTTAATGATTTCCAAAGCACACGAATTTCTACACAATTTCTTATAGACTTTTATAGCCAATGGCGATAAAGGGCAAAGCCCGGCGATAGGAACTATAGCCCGACTGTATACTTTTTTATAGCTTCGTATAGCCCGGCTGTATGATTTGCTCCTCTCTCTACAGCCAGTTATATGATTTTCAATAGCCTTCTTTAGTCGGCTATAAGAACTTCTATGGTATTTTGAAACGCAGCTCCTATCGCCAATTTTTACCAGGGTATAGTTAAATTCAAAACTGCTACAAACTTATTTTTTCCGGAAATATGCGCCTAGACTCTATTAAACTCGGCTCTAGTGTTCATAAAATCGGTAACTGAGTATTGACTCGTCAATTTCTATTTTAATTTTGTTTGATTTGCTACCACAGATATTTAAAACGTATACTTACTTCTGGAAGTTTGCGATTGTTTCGGAGTCATGAGAACGCACTTGAACGCCCCCAGGCAGCGAGCGATGTGACTCTTGTTTTACCTATCCTCAGAGCAGCAGAAATCTTGAAACTTGCATCGGAAAAGTTCCCTGCAACGAGCAGAGAACGAGCCAACATCCATCAAATTTACGTCTCCTATTACTTTCGCGAACACAGGAAACTTTTTCCATTCCGTGCGAATCTCCCTCACCGCCGCCTCCGTAGAATATTGATGGGGGTTAAAGGACCTGTTGAAAGGGCATTGGACGAAGATAGCACGTTTGAAAAATGAGAACCCGAAGACGGCGGATGCTCTTTTCACCGGGACCCTTGTAAATATGCCGAATAAAATTAGTTAGCTCGTGATTTATGTTTGAAAACGGTGTACGGTAACAGCACGTGAGATATACTCATTCGGTGGTGTAGCAACAGGAGGATATAACGCTGAAAATCCTCTTTATACCTCAGATGGATAGTAAATCTCGAAAAACCCTCGAGAAATTTTGAAAACATCTCGAGCAACACTCACAACACAAAATAATGGAAAAAATATCTCGATTTGCGACGTTGCGAATTTCTTGCTATTTTAATTTCAATGCAGGAAAATAGATGGTATAACAGTCGTGAGATTTTGCATAATTTTCTTTTAGATATCGATGGCCAATGTGCGAAACCACGAATCCCCGTTCATACTTCTTGTCATACTTCCTTTTTTCACCGGACAACTAGTCAACTTAATTTTTTGAGATCTTCCTTGATTTTTCCACTCTACGTGTAGAATTTTCTGTAAAAAATTCCGAAAGATAAAATGGGAACAGAGATTTTAAGACGCCGCAGTAGAGATACATTTCAGACACATGGCCTTTAAGCCATCGATGTGTAACAAAACTAGTTTTTGATGGAAGAGAATATATAATTAAAAGGCAAATGTTTAAAAACACTGCAGTCAAAAATTGAGTTTTGAAACACGGATATAAAAAGTTGGGCGCACCAGATTTAAACATTTTGTCGGAGCATAGACTTGCAAGAAGTGACCAATATCTAGTTTTCGGGTTTTCGGACTTTCAATGGCGATGAAAAACTGCCCGCCTGGAACGTACCGCAGCAAGTCGGTGACATTATGACAGATGCATGTTAGGAAAAAATCTTCGGTTATTTGAATAGAACCCATGCACGCAGCACTGGTGGCAGAGTTCCTTAAGGAGAGTTGCAGTGTGATGCTATTTATATACACAGTCATATATTTAAAAAAAAAAAAAAAAATGCAGAAATATTTTTGCTATGTTTATGGGCGTGGCTTGTACTAGTTGTGAGTTTGATTCCCAAAATCCCCTTGTCTTTCCTAACCCCTTGAGGGTGAGGTATACCACTGTACTCCCGCCAGTAGCTCAGGTTAAATTGCGGTAGGAAACGTTGGAAAAATACGGCATCAGTGTCAGCCTAGATATGTTAAATTTTTGGAGAGGCTCTCGCAGGCGCACCCCCCTTGTCACGTCTGCTCCTGACATGCAGATATATGACTTTCACAGTACCCCCTTCCCTCCCCAACATCTTTCTCTCTCTCTCTCGCCAAAGCCTCCCTCTAAAAAAATAAAACAACTCTAAATCGAACTTTTACCAGCCTGCCTGCTCATGGACAAACTTTGAAGCACACGAGGGGGATAAGAAATGGACGTATTTCTACCAAACGAAACTAGGCGCATTATGACTTGAGCCCTGTTGTATAGATACTCTCATGGGTCTTAGGGCTCATGTCTTAATACACATGATTCCGTTTGCCAGAAATATGTCCAAATGTAGGTTTCGCTGTATTTCCATCACGGTTTTTAGTGCAAGTTGCCACAGGTACCCGAAAAACATTGTTTAGTGCAGTGTTTCAGACTTCCGTGATCACCGAAAAAATAGGGTATTGAGCTAGCGTCTTGCAGGAAGTTGGAACAATTATCAGGTCAATAAGGTATGTTTTGGGGCCTTAGTGTCCCTGTTTATCTTTATGTAGTTATACATAAAATAAATACATTATATACCTCTAACACTGGAATGACTTGAATTTGCCACTAAGAGGATTTCCTTTTAAATCACGAATGAAATCGTTCGAACCAAGCAGGCCACGGCGTGATATAAACGACTCTTTTCTCGATACTACCATCTTCTAGCCTGTTTGGTTCAAGAAAAATATCTTCTAGGCGGGAAATTCAAGAATATTACTGCTTAAATCAAGTCCCTTTTTTCTAGTATAAGTACACGAAAAATATGCAAAAAAATCAATTTTCAATTCTTTGGACTTCTTCCCCTTTATCAACTTTTGTCTCTAGTCGGAAAATGGAGGAGACCCACGCTTATAATAGCTTCTAGACTTTTTTCAAGCATAAAATGTACTCTCTGTCGGAGAAACTTCTCGCGAACTCAAATTCGCATGCCGCAATCTGCGCGCTCGGAAACCTATGCGAGACGCGGTAGGCCAGATTGGAATCCCGTTTTAATAATGAATGAAAACTCGCTTAATTCCGAGACCTTCCACTGGGAAAGTTGAGAGAAGCTGGACGCAAACTGTTGACCTACTTACTTTATGAAGGTGCGTTCTATATTAACCCTCCGTCCTCTTGCTCCCCCCCTCTACCCTCCCCCCCTCATCCACCCCATTCCTCCCCATCGGCGATTGCGAATCGGCTCTGATTCGCGAATAAATAGCTTTCCATTTAATTTGATCGCGGCAATTATCGTGCACACTGTTGCCAAACCACAGGGAATGGCTCACTACTGGGCAGGGTTAAACCCAAACAGGTTAAGCCTAGAGTCCCTTTATACTGAGAGTAAAGACAATACGAATCCATTTCGGATTGGTTCCCGTATTTTAGGCCTTCACAGTGTCACAAACGAGAATAAAGATTACACTTTCACCAATTGCAAAGATTATAAACCGGAATGGACCGGGGAATTGGAGGTACGGCAAGGAGCAAATGGAATGAGAGAGGAATTCGGGAATGGGTTGATCAAAGCTTATAAAAAACGTCCAAGTATCTTTATTCCCGTTTGTGACATTCAAACGCCGCGTTGTCTCAACTCTTTCTATAAAGGCACTCTAGTTAAGCCCAACAGGATATCAGTGGCCAGAGTAAGATAGGAAGAAAATGGACGCATATCTATAGTCTCGTAAATCCACAAGGCCCTCACCGATGTCTCCACGAATGAAGTTATAGGGCCTATAAAGTCTGCCTATCTGTGATTTCAGAGTACCATACCTTCGATTATGATGTTGTTTTCTTTAAAATGCACCCACAGGGTCAATATTTAAAATTTTTGGTTGTTCTCAACATTTATCACACTCAACCGTGAATTCGGATCCTCCAATAATACACTGGGGGTTCTCTAAAAATGAATCGAGAGTTTGTCAGAATACTTCGCAAGATATTCCAAGCAGATCACTTGTACACGATTCTTCCAGAACAATTAGCGTGATCTAAGAAAAGTTTCGTAAAATATCGCAATTCATATTCAAAGGAATTTTTAGGGGAGAGTGGGGCAAAGTGGAGTGGTTTTCGTAGAATGGCGGAAAATCATAGTAGAATGAGATTTTCTGCCCATATTTTTGATCAAACTTGATGCTGAGGATATAAAGTATCATACTTTCAAGAAATTTGGTAATTTTTTTTTAAAAAAATCCTCGAAAAATCAAGGTGAAAAAATATTGCTGATTCCCACTTTGCCCCACCATAGCGGGGCAAAGTGGAAAGCAACATGGGGCAAAGTGGAAGGTAAGGGACAAAGTGGAATAAAGAGCTGAGGATGTTTCAGAAACGAGAGAATGTTTACCTAATCAGGTGAGTAAAAAAGTAGGTATGAAAAATAATGGAAAAAATTAGGTACTGCTTAAATAAGGAGAGAACAACGGTGAAAGGAACAATTGAGATTTTATTTAAATTTTTTTTTCTAAAATGGAAAATAATACTGAAAAATAAATATCGTACAATTTAACAAATTTAAGTAGGAAAAATTTAACTACAAAGGGAATCTAATTCAACTCAGTCTCATAATCTTTTCAAAATTTGTACATTTATAAGACTTTGAAGTTTACAATTTAGTTAGGTACCTGGTGCTGATAAGAATGTTGGGTTATCAAGAGAATGATAGTGCCACTGCCACTTTATATTGGATCCCAACTGACAATTTACTATGAGGACAAAGGACCTATTTTGTCGTACCGAGAGCACAGGTTGACAAAAGTAAAATATTTGACACATTTTTCATGAAAATTAAACCTTTAAACGTTGAGGAATCAGAACAGAAGAAAAAGTGAGCATTGTATACTACTGGGGGCAAAGTGGAAGCTGATATTCCACTTTGCCCCCAAGAGAGTCTCATCGTATTTCTTAACATATTAATTATAAAATATAATTTCACACAATTTTTTAACAGTCAACGTGTGCTAAAGGATCCATAGAATAGTTAAAAATCAACAGAAAATAATTAAGAAAGAACCAATTACCTGCATCTAAAATGTTTCGTCATCCAAAACAAATCGTCCCAGCTGGGCGAAATTTCGAAGCTGAATATTTTAGGTTATTTGTTTTGATTTCAACACAGAAACACTTTTAAATAGACGGGACACCTCAATAGTTTCATTTTCTACACCTAGGGGTGCCCTATGTGTGCTGTATTTTGCTATAACTTCAATTTCCACTTTGCCCCACCCTATCACTTTGCCCCCACTTCCCCTAAGCGCATTAAAATGAACAGTCTCTTGGCGGAATATTCTCAATATTAGGTTTACACGGGGGAGCTAAACTGCGGTGAAATTATCTCAATTTATGTCCACCCGGAGTCCGTTTCACAGTTCACTGGACTCCTGCATATCTATCGATGTATCAATTTTTTCCCGAAAGATTGCACGGGCAAGGGTGCGATTAGCTTCCTCGAGTTCGATTGTGCATTTTCAATTTAAAAAAGAGCAAATTTACGTGACTGTCGGCAACGCTGGGTGGGAAAACCCGTTGAAAAGTTCTCAATTAGCTGAATAACTCATCGGCAGCCGTCGGCAAGTTGCGGTGGCTGAAATCGGGCTCCGTAATTTTTCCAAAGAATGAATTTCATTATTTTACGATTGCGCATTGCAACAGGCAGTTTCCTGAAACGGAATTAAAATGACGCGTTGGGTCTCTGCCTTGAAGGCCTAGATACACATGGCAATTAATCGCCGTGTGTATCCAGGCCTTAAGTGACGTTATTCATTATAAAACATTCAAATTGCAATCTGTTACACCGGCTTCATATAACTAGATATCAAAACCTTCAGGTTTCTAGGAGATTTGCGCGCGTGCAAGAATACTTCACAAAGGAAGGGGTGTCGTTCAAGGAGAATTTGACTCACACCTAAATAAAGTTATCGGGCTCAAGGTTTATCTTCAACATTGGTCCCGGAAAATTCTGTCACGACGTTGCGGTGCCACAAGTTAACTCCTAAATCAGCGATTATTTTAAAAAAAAACAAAAAAACATATGAGTCCTGGTACTAAACAGCTGCGGCAGAATGTATGAAATGAAAAATATGGTTGATCGAACAGAATGGTACGACCGACATTACAACGCCGCACTTACAGTTCGCGCGGCTAATTTTTTTTTTCAGTGTAGTGTCAGTTAGTCACAAGACTGATTGCTACAATCGTTGACTATAATAACTTTCCGTAGATTTTTTGGGACTTAAAATTGAATCAAAGATTGGAGCACGGTCTATCAACAGCAGGATCGCAAAAATCAACATCTGCAGTGGCGGGGGTCCTACCGAAAAAACCAATCGGAGCAATTTTTTACTACAAATGGCTGAGGATTCAATTTGATGTAAAATTGTGCCTATTAACGGTTAAAGATGCTTAGCAGTTCTGAGTATCCCAAGAGTAAGTTGTAAGCTATCCGGTGCTCTATTATAGAAGTGAAGGGCGAGAGGTCACTCCTGCATCCGACAGTTTTATGCTAGGAGTATTGCAAATTGGAATTTGGAACAGCAGCGCTCGCTCAAAATTGAGCAAACTGAAATCGCAGACGGAGTGAAGTGAAACTAATTAAAAACTATTTCTTTGTTCTAGGCATTGGATATGCAGCAGCTGTGATGTCATGTTGGATGAATGTCTATTACATTGTTATTCTTGCGTGGGCAATATTCTATTTTGTGATGTCAATCAGGATTGGTGAGTAAAATAGTCTCGTTTGTTTAGGTATACCTGCGGATTTATTCAATACAGTGGCGTGTTCTTCGTGAAAAATTAGAGCCAAAACAATCACCAAAGACAAGATTATCCTCTCCTCAGATGTTTGCGCTACTCTGTCAAGAGCGGAGTGGAAATTTTAAAAAAAAGTTAACTCAGAGTGAAAAAGTTAGTATTAAAACTTACATTAGGAGCAGAAAATTTGATTTATTTAGTTGCGGAAGACACCAAAATCAACTGAAGCCAAATCGAACATTTGAAAAGAACATAATGCTCGTTAAAGAATCAAAGTTATGTCTTTAAAAAAAATTTATTTCCAACTCCATCAGAAAGAGCTCTTAACTGTATTACGACAAGATGAAACATTCGGCCATCAAACATGTCAAAATTAGAGAGGTGCGAGATATCGATGGCTGAAGTAGAAAAATTCGTATCTGAATTATGACGGAAAGAATTTTTACAACATACCTATTCTGTTCCTAAAAGAAAACTAACCGACATATTGATGGTAAAAATCCTAAGCCACGTATCTCGGTTTTAGACAGTGCAGACATCCTGCTATACTTTATTTTTTGAATAGAAAACTACCCAACATGAATTATTATAAACTTATGTAATGGTTCCTATCCTTATCTCAGCAAATGAATATCTATAATCAGCAAATGAATAGAGTTTGTTATTCTGTTTCAGACGTTCCCTGGCGGACGTGCAATAATTACTGGAACACGAAATACTGCGTGAGTCCTTACGAACGGATCGGGCTCAAATGCTGGAACACGACGACCCACGGCAGCATTTGCAATCTGAATAACTACAATGTCTCCATCAAAGACTTGTCGGATCCCGTCAAAGAATTCTGGGAGTAAGTCTATTGTACTTCTGTTGTAAATTTGTCGTTATCGCTCTTTCATGAGAAACTCCTCTGAATGCTCTGTTCTCACCGACTGAGCCGTGTTTGCAGTTAGTAAAGTCATAAAAAAAGCGCACGGCTGAAAAATTCCATGGATTTTAGAGTCATGTGATATTTCTTGTAACCTCGACAAAAACGCGTTTAACCCAAGATGCGTGGATGCCCTAGCCGGGCCAAAATGCCCGCGGCTTGCTCAAACACGTGCCCCATTGACCGTATGAGACCGGTGCATACGAGCTTTATATATAGATCTACAGATACGTATTAAAAAGAGGCAGACATCAAATTGAAAAAAAAAATTTAAAAAATCTATATTTTCAAAGATTTTTGTGACAAATACTCTTAAAAATCCTAAACCGCGTCAAATTGATCCGACTATCCCTTCTGGGGAAGTTAAGGGGCACATACAAGCTTTAGGTATAGGTCTACAAATACAGCCTAAAATAAGAAATTAAACATACAATTGAAAAGAAAGAAGATGTATAGTGTCATCCCTAATGTGAATGATGCCGTCTTGGCAGCATAGAGCGAAACACTGCGAGTTCACGCCTCGCGCCGTGGAGCCTTCAATTTTGCAGATGCAACATGGACAGCCATTGAGCACGAATTGTATCTCTGCGCCGCGCAGTCATCAACGTGCTTCTTTTCCTTCGCTCTATTTTCATGTTTGTTTGGTTTCATTTGTCTCATTCGTAGCTATGCTTCAAGGGCTACGTGAGAAACACAGCCGAAAATAGGAAAGACGCAATCCGACCTCGTTATTTCGTAAATTTTTCTTTTACTCAGCGTCTGCTTCAGTCAGAAGATGCATAACTCGGATTGCGATGGTGTCAATCTCCATTCATGTTTTATTGTTTCTGAAACTTAACTGACCAACTGTTTCTGTGATTTTCATTCACTCCTTAAAAATTCACGCACGATTGTGGAGGAGCATTTTGATTAGTTAGATTCGAAGAAAATAAAACACAATCGGAAGTACTTAAACGTTGCAAAGAAGACACGACTTTTTAGCATTTAATCATCGAAATGAACATTTAACTGAAATATCGAACCAAGAAAAAATTATCTTCTCAATTACGTAGCCGATGCGACAGTTTGTGGTTCTAAGATTTCAGTAATTATAATTCCTCGTGATTGATACCGCGCGGGGTCATAATGGATATTTTCCATGGATAATCGTGCTTTCTTACTTTAAAATAGTTTTAAGCCCTAAGAAAGTTGAAAAATATACTGGTGATTTTAGAAATTTTTTTATTGTAAAATGACCATTTGCATGACGAATATCTGATTTTTTTTTTTTTTTTGAAAAAAAAAAAAATAACTTTATTCCTTTGTCTACGATACGATTCAATCACTAAGTAAAACGGATTTGGCTCTCAAAACAATCGGCTGCCTTACGAGACCTGACGTTACGTTGTGCGGCACTTCCGGGAAAAAATATCCTGCGTTTCTTGCAAGTATCTTCAACAGCCCCTCTTTAACTCAATGCGGCGCTAACACAAGATAAATTGAGATATAAATCATCCTTTTGGATTCTCTCTGTTTCCGCTCAGTGAAAGAGTGCTCTGGCAGATGAGCTAAGAGCGCGGATAAGAGATCCTTCCGAACCTTCCACTCTCAGTCTAAAGTCTGCCTCTTTCACATCGAGATCCGTTTAAGAATATCTTGTTCAAAAGAAAAGTTCTTTGAATGTTTGATCGAATTAGCACCGAGCAGTCAATCTAAATCGATATCGCACCGAAGTCCGGTTCAATTATCCTTTGTCAGGGTTTAACCTCCCATTGAGATTTAACAGGCCCTCCGGCTGCATGTTGAATTTAACGAGAGATTTTTAGACCTGAAATTCGCTCTAGGTGCCAGAGCCAAAAAGCTCTGTGAGAAAGGGAGATTTATGGAGATTCTTGACCCAGGATCGCGAAAAGGAAAATTTTAACGAATTCGAGTAAAATCTAAAAGAATAGCTACAGGAACAGGTAATTGCAAGGGATTACAACGATTTGCTACCACAGAAAATTTAGAGTACAAAAAAGAAATATTTCGGATTCAAGAAACACGCAAATTACTGATTTTCCGCAGATTTGTCAAGATCATAGATAATACTTTTTTCTCCATATTTCTTACTTTTTGCTCTGACAAATCATATCATTCCCTCGAATCTCTCCATTTCCGAAGTTAATTTGATAAAACTTACTCAGGATTGGTTAAAATTGTCTTTTTTATGGTGCTATGTAAAGGATTTCCTTCAACATCCCTCATCACAATGTAAGCCTCACGAAGCTTCCTTGTGAGATGAGCTGTTCGGGGATCGACTATAAAATAAGCCCCTAAAAGCTTATTTTGTCACTTTGGCATCTCTGGAAAAGCTTCGAATATTGAAAGCGTGGTGTTCCCTCCGAATCAGTTTTACACCTTGAGAACTTTTTTATACCCGGTGATTTATGAGGTTCTCGCGAAGAATGGGGGAAGGGAAGAGATGAGGAAAGGCTTTGCTTGCTTCCTTTTATACTTGAGCGATTCAACCCACGATCGGATTTCCGCTCATTTTCTCATGATATGAGCTCGATGGGCACTTTCTACTCAAAATCATAATTTTTCTTTCATATTCTATATTTTATTTTTGTATTTATCTCTTCAGATAGGCTGAATAGGCCTTATTCAATAAAAACTTTGCCGAGGGATAGGAAGAGCGAAGCGAAAGTAGGAAGAGAAAAATGAAAAGTATTACAACATATATCGACGGTGAAACTACCAAACCACGTATCTCGTTTGCGGTGTTTAAAAATCTACGCTCGCATTTTATTTTTTTAAAGCCGACCAAATCAATATCATTCCTTGAAATTTTCACCGAATTTTCTCCGCACAAAGAGGAAAAATCACAGAAATTTTCAAGACTGGATGTTAAGTAGTTTTTCATTTAAAAAATAAAGTATGACAGGAAGTCCGCGACGTCGCAAACCGAGATACGTGGTTTGGTAGTTTCACCGTCGATATTTGATCTTGTCTGTCTCAAAGCCTTAGGGCTCTATTCATTCTCTCTTCCTTAAACAGCTTTTCTCCTAAGGAGGCCCCATATGGTTTCCGTTGTGACTAAGAAAACTTTAAGGAAGCCGTAAATGAAGCATCATGAAAAGGACTATTTTCACGAACTTATAAGTAAACTTCACCAATAAACCTTTGGCAACAGATCCTTACAACCTACAAAAGTATACGGTGCCATTGTACTGCAAAAAATACAACATGACAAAGGGAAATGTTGTAAGTTCGGCAAATTATCAAGCAGGCCTGTGCTTACCTTAAAGTTTTTGGGGTCGTAGAATTTGCTCTTTTGAATTCGTTATTTGTACAGGGGCATATCACCGTAATCCTTTTTAAGGATCTGTTCCTGAAGCTATACCGCTGAATTTTACCTGGAAGGTCTTCTTATTTATGGTACTACATTTAAAGCCTGTTTGGAGCTCTCCTAATCAAAATATAAACCATTTGGTGCTTTCTGAGGAGAGACACTGATTGAGGAACGACTATAATACGCCCCTGACCCTGAATACACAGAAATACAAAAAATACGAAAATACAATGTAATCCACCCGGTTGCATTGCTCAGATTGGAAGTATGGAGTCTCTGAAATATGATCTTTGAGCACCATTAATTGGATTGTATTTTGCAAAAAGGAGCCAGAGGCATTGCAATGATGCTAAGATTGTGCATTTTCATCCTTTGCAATAGAATTACTGAATCATTAACAAATATGAAATTTACGTGGTAATTTTTGTCTTTTTACAGTTTCTAGCGAGTAGAGTAGGAACTGTTAATGGATAATCAGGTTTTTATTCCAAGACAAAAGAAGTTGCACAATCTTAGAAACATCGCAATAATAGTGGTTCCTTTTTGCAAAATGCAATCCAATTTAGTTTGGACGATTTAATGGTTTTGGCCTTGTGGATAAATGACTGTGATTGGTTGGGTTTCAGACGACGAGCGCTTCAAATCACCACAGGTGTTCAACAGGTGGGTGAGATACGGTGGGAGCTGGCCGGCACGCTGTTCTTCGTTTGGCTCTTGTGTTACTTCTGCATCTGGAAGGGCGTCAAATGGACCGGCAAAGTAAGTAAATCTCACTCATAACGTTGTCTTTGCAAATTCAATCATCTGATGACGAAGCCAAGTTTCTTCGAATGAAAAAAAGGTCTTTACGTCACGAAAATTGAGTTTAAGCCGAATAAAAGCTGTCGGAAAAAAACACAATTTTTGAAAATTTTATACAATAGACCCCCTGGCCGCTACAGTTACGCTACGCGGTCCAACCCCCGGGGCGCTGCACGCCCTTAAATGCCGCCTCGCGACCAGCGAAGTCGTCGAAAGCGCCCATTGCGTTGGCGGTTATAATGAGCAAATCAGTTCAATTGAATAACAAAACGATGTTTCAAAGAAACATTTCCCGCTTAACAATATTCTGAATAACTTTCTCCTCACTCTGAATTTTGATTCCTTTTTTGGAAGTCGACCTAGATAGGGCCACATATAGCTGTTCATGACTAAACAAAGGCCTCTGAAAGTAAAGGCTCACTCTATTAAAACTCTGACCTTTGAACTCCTCATCCTCCCTCCTGCCCATCAACCGTCTTACTGCCCCAGAGGCGGATCCAGTAATTTGGCAACACCGGATTTTCTCCATTTAAACCTGTGCCAATTAATCGATTCTTGTCGGAGCACCTAGCCCCTCCAAGAATCGATACATTTCCATGGGTTTAAATGGAGGAAACCCGATGTTGCCAAATTGCTAGATCCGCCAATGTACTGCCCTTCCTTACCCCGTCCAACCGTCCATCGAGCGTCTTGAACTTGATTTTTTAAGAATAGAGAGGATGTTTTACAACCAATATTTTTGTCGGTTAAGGTTAAAAAGCCTCATTGGCACCTGGATAATCTTACTTTTTTGTTAGGTGGTTTACTTTACGGCACTTTTCCCGTACTTCCTGCTGACTGTACTGCTCATCCGTGGAATCACGCTGCCTGGCGCCATCGATGGCATAAAGTACTATGTAAAACCTAACCTCTCCAAGCTCGGCGAGTCGCAGGTAAGCATCATGAATACAACACGTGTCACTTGTTTATTCAAGGGTACTTGGAATCCATTGGCGCGATGAATCTATTGATTTGCAATTTAAATCTCTGAAAAAGGGCCAATTATCACATATTTGTAACGCTTACTGTAACAATTGATTCTTTACGATAGCTCCCGATAGCTGATAATAATTCAGCCCTCACCGCTGATTGAATCACCATCGGATTGCCTGTGTCTGGTCGTAATGGGTCAAAATGTTTTTTTTTTTTTTTTTAAAAAAAAAACATTGTCAAAAATCCATAAATGTCATTAAATGTCTCGATATAAGCGTGTTCATTTCATCAAAATTTCAAAGTACCAAGTAGGTCCAATGGGAGTCACATGATCGAGAGCAAAAATGATCAAGCATCCTTCTTATTTTCTCGGTAAAAAAGTATCCAAAACTCATAACCTTGTGAGAAATGCTCTGCTGATCGATGATTCAGAAAAGAGCCATCTCCAAAGATTTGACCAATTGAGTTTTCTACGGGCGTGTGCACTCCTGAGGTATAGGCGAATCGGGCCCTGAATGCTTACAGGTGGTTTTGCTGTGGAACCGGATTTTATTAGGGGGTCCTTTGGACACTGTTCAACTAAGAGTATTTTAATAATAGAATTTTCTCTACTTGTTCGCAAGCCCCTAGGTTCCTTGATTTGTCTATCATTCTTAGTAAATCAGGAAACTGTTCAGAAGCTCCAGCAATTTAAAAAACCAATAGTATCTTCGTTCTTTGTAATTTGCCATATTAAATACGCTGTCACGATAGATAGTCAATAATGACAATTAATTGCGCATGATATGTGATCTACTGTCGCCGATATGAAATTTTCCAGGAGGGAATTCTTACCAATATCGAGGGATCCTTATTTTTACGCAAACATTTCAGGAATAAGAATGAAAACCTGTTAACTGCTTATTTCTATCACTGCTGTGCTACAGATCCATTTATTTTCAGGTATGGATCGATGCTGTCACGCAGATATTCTTCTCTTATGGTCTCGGTTTGGGAACTCTAGTCGCTCTAGGAAGTTACAACAAATTTAATAACGACGTCTACAAGTGAGTATATTTGAATGTCAGCTCAAAAACATAATGAAGGAAGTTTTATAGGTGCTTTTAAACAATCGAATGCTTCGCTCGACTTACTAGTGACCATAAATAATTAATATGATAAAAGCTGTCCCATTATTAAGATGAATCAACCTAACTAAATTGGACGTTGCCTGATTTTCTTTGATAGTTTCTTTTTCAAAAATATAACCAAGAAACACTGAAACTTGAAATTTTGCGAGAATATTCTTCATTCACTTAGCAAATTCCCGAAAATCCTAAAGGCGTCATTAAGTAGTTCATTTCTGTATCGAAAATAAATAAATCAATAAAAAATGAGAGAAAATTACAGGGAACGTGAAAACAAATCCAGTTAGGTTGATTCCGGTCAAATCCGTCCAATTTATTTAAACAATTTGATGACGAACACAATTTTTTTCACAGTTTTTAGAAAATGCAACAATGTGGAAGCCTCAACAAGAAGAGTTCTGACAAACTATGTTTCCCTGTTTTGGAATTTCGTATCGAGTACTTATACAGTAGGATGAACAATTGAACACAAAAAACAACTGAAGTTGATATGTTTTCGGCCTTTTGATATTTAATCCTGAGAAACTTCTACAATAATAGTAATACAGGGCCAGTTTTCTTCACAGACCTTCACATTCCCATAAAAGACCCTTAATGAATCACTAAATCTTGCATTTTTTCTTCTTTCTTTGATATTCTGGCAGTTCAAGGTGAGTATATAATCTAGTAATTTACTGCGTATTTTTTGATAACTGGTCCATTTTCGGAATATTCATAATAATTCCGTTCACTCTATGACTGTTTTTTATCTACCTACCATTTTTTTCTAGGGATGCACTGATCGTTTGTTGCGTGAATTCGGGGACGAGTATGTTCGCCGGTTTTGTCATCTTCTCTGTCATTGGTTTCATGGCTCACGAGCAACATAAACCAGTGGGTGAAGTCGCTGCTTCAGGTAAATCTTGCAGCGCGGTGGGGACGTTTTAACATTTCTACTCCTATTTCATATTTTTCTACAGAAGATTAATTGATACTACTTGACTGATATATGTAATGGAAAATTCAAAGATCACTAATTCTAAGCAATCAGTGAAAAATTAAGTAGACTTTCACTTTCAATGAATTCAGCGCATCAGCAGTTAAGGTGGCAAATCGTTCGGCCTTACGGGCTCAACGGGTGGCCTTTAAAGTGATTTCTTAGTCAAAAAAAAGCCTCAAGAAATGTCTTTTTAGGTGAAATTTTCAAATTATAAACTCAATAGAGCAAGCTCAGTAAGTAATTCAATCCTAACTAGTTGTTTTTCAGTATCAAACAAATTTTGTCAGGTGAAAATTTACGTGAAATTGCTTTCACGGGTGGGACGCCAAATAATGGTGAATAAGAACGGGCTATCAACACAAGCATAATTCGACAACTGACAATTGGACTGCAATTTTCAGTAAGGATCTACATTTCACGGGAAAAAATAGGGTAGTCGATACATTCAGCGGCTAGTTAAAAATGCGCCAGCTACCGTGCGGTAGCTGGCGCATTTTTAAATAGCCGCTGGTTGTATCGACTACCCTATTTTTTTCCGTCTTTCTCGCTCATACATTAAAACACCTTTCTGCATAGGAAAACTAAGGACACATGCTGTATCTGGAATGAGCCAGAACTTGAAGTTTCTAACTGCAAAATTTAGTCTCATTATTCCTTTAACATGTGCCCATAAAACGTTGTTAGAAGAGTTATATGTACTTACAGACGATAATATTCACACCGTTGATTTTATGTTAAAATAAACGTTTCTGCAATTCAGGTCCTGGTTTAGCTTTCTTGGCGTATCCCTCAGCGGTTTTGCAACTTCCTTGGTCTTCTCTATGGTCATGCCTCTTCTTCGTCATGCTTCTATTCATCGGTCTCGACAGTCAGGTAATTTTTCCATCCTTACTTCCAGCGGCGAAGCCAAACATTTTCACGGGGAGAAGGGCGCAAAGGTAAAACTAATCAGAAAACGGCTAATACATGACAATGTATAGAGATTCATTCTTATAACACCGACAGAGTTGATGCTGATGCTTATGCCTTCATACAACTATTCGTGCCCTAGGGCCACCTGTGTTGCCTAACGCATCAAATGAAGGCGTTATGATTTTCGATTGGTGCATTGATACAACTATTCCTGCTCTAGGGCTACACGTGTTTCCTAACGCATTAAATGAAGGCGTTACGGTTTCCCATCGATGCTTTTCATCAACTCGCGTGGATTTTTAGCAAAACAATGCATTGTCTGAATGGATGTAAGAGCAGAAAGTGAGAGCAGGAATGTAACAACCAGAGATAATGTATTTTAGAGACCTCACAATAATATTTTAAGCAATGTAATCGGGTGAGGTGAAAGTTAACCTCGGAGATCAATGCTATTTTTCGCCCCGTGATGATTAAAGATCAAATTGTTGTGCAGAAAATTCGCCTAATGACTGATGATTGTCGGTATGAGCATTTTGCCGGGCGAATTTTTGAAAATTAGGATAGGTTTGCTTAACAAATCGTTCACTCTTAAGTCATCACTCATCTTTAGGCAAATTTGAGCTTCAATTTTACAATACATTGAAGATATAAGCGCGAGGTCTCGAAAATGAACTGTCTTAAGTGAAAACTTCTGCTTTTTTTCTTGGCGCAAAATATATGCAACGCGCGTATAAGAATCGCCGTAGACCCATTAGCGTTCTTTCTTCAAACATATAACTTTATTTTAGAAAAAGAAAAAACTCAACGGCTCATTTTGCAGTATACCTTCACAGCAACGTGGCACAATCGTTCTTAAAGTATACATGTAATTACTTTTCGTTGGTTCTTTTATTATAGACAATACTCTCAGAAAAAAAAAATCAAGAAAATTGTAAACGATGTTCTGTTTTTTTTTTTTTATGCTCGTATATATTTGCACAGTTTGCATGATTCTGAAAGGCCCCTTGCGGTTAGCAATCATCATGGACTGATACCTTGGTATCTCGATTTTAAAATCGTTTGATAATTTTATTCTATTTTGCAATTTTGGCTGAATAGATTAAAATACTATATATCGATGGTGAAACTACCAAACCACGTATCTCGGTTTGCGACGTCGCAGACTTCCTGTCATACTTTATTTTTTAAATAAAAAACTACTTAATGTCTAGTGTTGAGAATTTCTGTGATTTTTCCTCTTCGTGCGAAGAAAATTCTGTGAAAATTTCAAGGAATGCTATTGATTTGATCTATTTCAAAAAAATAAAATGTGAGCGTAGATTTTTAAACACCGCAAACGAAATACGTGGTTTGGTAATTTCACCGTCGATATGCATCCTTGGTGTTATTATTTTTGGCTAACTTGAAATATTAACCCTTTCTTGTTTTTCTTTGGTGTCTAGTTTTGCACAATGGAAGGATTTATCACAGCGATGGTGGATGAGTACCCACGACTTTTGCGTAGGCGGAAAGAAGTGTTCATTGCTATCGTTTGCATTCTTTCGTATTTGGCAGGCTTCTCCTGCATATCTCAGGTAAGCTGTTGAATCAAAACTTACACGTTACTGCAAGCTATTTTTGAAGTACAGGTCAATGTGGAGGCAGTAGAAGTCAGAGGTTCTCTGAAAAACGTTTGCTAGCAAAGTTATCTAGTAAACATTCATCATTCGTCCAATTTCTTTTACGTCATAATCGGAGTAATCGCGTTTTCTTGTAATCATTTTGCACACATTACTTTGGCCTTATCGAAAAAAAAGAGAAAAAAAAGAAAAAAAAATACGAGGGAACGAACCATTGCAGATCCGGTCAGAAAAGATATCCTGAGAACAATCGACAACAATTCCTCTAAATTAAAAAATTAGAATTTGTTGACTGAGGTCAGTTGCTGTCGACATGAAGTTCATAAGCACTTAATTTTTAGTTTGGCATGAAAATTACATCCTTTGAGACTGTGGCTCTGAATACATCAGGTATACATACCATGTTGATTTTCTGGTCGGCAGGGAGGAATGTACGTGTTTCAACTGCTGGACTCATACGCAGTGAGTGGATTTTGTCTGCTGTTCTTGATATTCTTCGAATGCGTCTCCATCTCTTGGGCCTTTGGGGTGAACCGTTTCTACGATGGAATTAAGGAGATGATCGGATACTACCCCTGCTGGTTTTGGAAGTACTGCTGGCTATTTTCCTGCCCTATCATCTGCATTGTGAGTAGTTCCATCTCTGATGTAATTCTAAATTCTATTCCCGGACAGAATCAAGCACCCCCTCCCACACTTAAAGTTCTCCACGGAGAGTATATTGTTTGTAATTATTACATTATTACGAATTTTTACCCCCCCCCCCATTAATAAGTGACTACGCCCATGGTCATGGAAGTGACTTCGAGATTGATTTGTTTCCTCATTTGTATAACCTTCAGCACTGGTGGCATCAAACTTATTAACATTATTAACAACACATTATAACACGTCGTATCTCATACACTTATCATTACATGCCTCTTTGAGAGTCATTTCCAGGATTCCGAGAATTCCCAGTTTTATACCATCCGATGTGAAAGAGGACAGAGAATCGTAACTACTCGGTGGGTTAAAAATTGTTGCAAACAAAATTTCTTCTCCCAAAAAACTAATTATCGCGCAGATTGATGGATCAAAAACGTCAAAGAAATGTATCAAATGAAAGCTGGAACCATAAGGATCAAGACGTATGCAGCACTTTCCCTCGAAATATCTGCCGATTAAATGTGTAATATTGTGAAATAAAAAGCGCTGATACTTCTGGATCATTTTCAATACAGCGTGTGCGCAGTACGTTTCCTAAGGCAGATAAGTGGTTCAATTAATGATCCAGAAAAAGCAATTCTTTATAAATAAAGTAAATATAAAAATAAAAATAATTTGCCTAAAACATGACGACTGAAGAGTTAGTTTGGCTCTAGAAACAAAAACGGAGTTGAAATGAAAGGAAGCAATGATGTACTTTCACGCAGTTGAACTGTCCGAGTTTCATACTGTTTCAAATTGAAACGGTAAGTTTTTTCCAAAGTAGCATTCGTCATTAAGATCCATGATCATGTCATTCGCGGATCCAGTAAGCTCTCAACACTGTTTTCTCGCCATTTAAACCTATAGTAAAGAATCGATTTTTAGAGGGCGAAGATGCATCAACAAGAAGAGATTCTTTCCCATAGGTTTATATGAAGAGAAAACAGTATTGCCAATCGCCTAAATTTACCTCTCCTTGTGTTTGCAGAGCGTTTTCTTCTTCAACCTGATTCAGTGGACGCCGATCAAATACCTGAACTACGAGTACCCATGGTGGAGCCATGTTTTTGGCTGGTTTACCGCTCTGTCCTCGATGCTTTGCATACCGGGTTACATGATCTACGCTTGGATGACAACACCTGGAGATTTTGACGAGGTACAGTATTGCTGATTGTAAAAGTTAGGTGAAAAATTACACAAGGACCCCATAAGGACCCCCGATCAAAATTTGGATTAAAATTGGAACTACTTAGTAATTAATACTAAACTATTATGATTTTCCTCTTATTCCTCTCCTTCTGACTAAGGCACAAACCTTGTTTAGGACATCTCTGTAGATATTCTAACATGATTTGTTTCTTCATCTTAATGTACTGTAATGCATTTCTATTTACAGAAATTCAGGAAGCTTGTTCGGATAGAGGACGATGTGGCAACCTTGAGACTCAAAATGGGCCATAAAGCTGAGCCAAAAGAGGACGGAAAGTCTGACATGATCTGATCTTCTTAGACGGCGAAATCGTCTATTTCCAGTCATTTTCGTTATTTTTTAGTTAATTTATTTTTTACCATCCCTCCTCATCCATCGCTTCTCCGTAGGACAATCAATAATGTTGTTACACCCAAGTGTAAAGTTTTGTTGTAGGGTTCAATTTTTATTTGTTTAAGTTTTCCGTCTTAGGTAATTTGTTTATTTTTAGGTTCCTCACCATAAATCTTCATTTTGGTCCTAAGCTCATTCCTTATTTCTTTGTAAATGTTCTCTCCGCGTAAAATCAATTGCTCACAAATTGTTTACTTGCAGTAGTAGATACCTACAAAAATTCTGAATTTATTTGGTCGAGGACATCACCACCAGAATACTCATTGCGGTTGTAAGACAATTTACGACGTCATCAGAAAAGCAGGTGATACACTCCCTAGCTTCAAATCCTCACAAAAATACACTTCCCTTCCAAGATTCCTTGCATTCTTGTGTTGTCCCCAGGTAAAAAATGTTTGAATTAATTTTCTTTCGAGGGTTTTTTTTTTTATTATCATTATTCTCTCCTTTTTGTTAGTAGAACACAATCTGTAATGAAACTTTACTTTCAAATATTCAATGACAGTCTTCCTCAATTTAAATAATAATACAAAATATTAAAACTCTTATTTTACTTGTCTGTTAGATATTCTAAAGTTCTTGTTACTTAATTAGAGTAATCGAAAGTGTAAATTCGCAGAAAACATAAACAGCCCAATATGCCGCGCAAGTTAATTACTCGTAAAAATCACAAGCAACATGTAAGAGAGAGGTGCTGCAGGGGCTCTCACTACTCATTTCGGCTCTTCTTTGACACAGGAGCGTAACTGCGTTTCGAGCTGAGCAGTGGCGTGGCGTGAATTGCGATATATCGATTGTTATGCCATTTAAACCTTTGGTGAAGAATCGATTATTAAGGTGTTCGCTGCGAACACCCTGTTAATCGATCCTTTTCCATAGGTTTAAATGGCATAACAATCGATATATCGAAAAGCACGCCACGCCAATGGAGTTGAGCCTTACTGACCATATAACTTCATGCTTCTCCAGGGCTCACGAGGAAATAGGAATACGCCCTTACGTCAAAGGAGTGACAATAAGTCAGTCAGTTAAATAATCAGTATGTGTCAGGTCCGTGATTTCTTGGATGCGATCAGTAAATTTCAAATAGATGTGTAAAATGCTGGGTTTTTAGAACCCAGAAGCGATTCTGGGTTTTAAGGGAAACTTAAGGGAAATTATTTACGCCTTCATGTGAAAGAGACCGCTGGGACTTAACACCTTTTAATGGCAAGAAAGAAATTAAGATGGTTTATTGGAAGCAATTTATGAACTCTGTGATGTATCGGAACTGCTATTGCATTACTTCGATCCAAATTTGACAGTTACTCTCAAGTAGTTTGTCACTATCAAATTGACTTCGGAAAGTGGAATATTTTCTGCTTTATACTAAATTAAACGGCAAGAAAACCAGTATTATTTATTTATATGTGAATTAAATGTATAGTCAAAACTTTAAAACGATTTCTGTGTGATTATTAATGTTATTAGATTGAAAACAAATAGTTTATATATTATAGCTGAATCCAACGTCTTCCCACTGCTAATATTTCTTAAGGTCTTAGTTATTCGCAAAGTACACATTTGTAGACAACTGTCAGTATATTTTAGGTGACCCGTTTTGGGGCTGACAGCTTTCATAATGCAGTGCTCAGCACTACTGATGTAGTCGTTACCGAGTAAATTATGCTTAAATTTTAGCGAACTTGTTCCAGAGCATTTTCTTTTGTGCCATCGTAAGCTAAGGGAGCGATATATAATTTGAATGAATGGATCCAATTTTCAACTCAAAATTTAGAAGATAGTTTTGAATACATTAAATTAAAATTCAAAAGCAACGTTAAAAATATTTCGCCATCTTTCCCTGCTTTTGCGACAAACCATGCGCCTGCGTGTGCATTTTAGATAGTCTTGTCAAATCGCTATTTAAGCTGTTCAAAATTTTGATATGAGAAAATTAAAACCACTGGCGTCATTTGATCCTATAATAAAATTCACATTTTTTCATCGTCGTTTTCACCCATTAAATGTTGGTTTCAAGGATTTCATTTCAGCACCCTTATAAATGGGTGAACCATTAAATATGTGCCACTTCTTAACATATAAACGAAATGGTTAAAGATAAACATGATTAGATAAGTGCCAACAGCACTGATATCTTGACTTTCGTCTCTGCATTTCAAAATCACGATATTATGTGATAATTGAGTTTAATGAGTCTCAAGTAACCGAGCCTTTGACATTTTATAAACGCGGAAATTCATTCCTTTCGAATTGTTTTGCCTCTCAGAATTATGTTATCCGAGATCATCAACTAGGAAATAAATTTAGACTGGCCTACAAAAGTTATAAAAATATCTTGATTCTTCTCGGGATCGTATACAGTTTATGGTCTAAAGTAGATTAAATTAAATTTGAGGTTAAATTAAGGTTAGCGTGTGAGGGTTCAAATTCTCCATGTTTGTTATTTCGATGGAGTTCAACAAATTTTCAAAGGAACGTTCGGGATATTTTCACATGAAAAAAATCACCAGGATCTAAATTGGTCAAGGCAGAACCTTGAACGAGACAAATGGACGAATTTTAAAATGTCTACATTCATCTCTTGTATGCGAATAAAGAGAACATTCTACGTAACACATGCATCAGTGGACACTGCGAAACACCCGCCTCTAAAAAGGACTCAATATATTTCTCAGTTAGATTAATTTTCCGGCTCTAAATTTAGATTTGTAATTGTATGTCTTCCATGTAAATTTATAAATCTATTTATTTATATACAAACATATTTACCATAGTCGTAAAACGTTCACGTCATTATTAAATGTGGGTTCTGTTATGAATTTTAATTTAAAATATTTATATCTCATAAATGATACATATGTATATATATAAAAAAACATCTTGGTACATATACACATATTTTTTGTTTACTTAGATCATATATTTTAAAGGTTTGTTAAAAGATGTTACGTTCTCAATCCTTAAGACAAAATAGTGAAAGTAGTTGAGGCACTATTCTACGTCGACCATTAACGAACCATTTTTTCAAGCTGTTGACCTACTTACAGTGATTGTGCATTTTATCAAATTAAGTCAATGATTGTTTGAAATGTGTGCTGCTTTTATACGCAACACAAATGTATCTGTTTCTTCTCCAACTTTGAGATCTCTATTTATTTTCCACTGTCGTTTCTAATGTATCATTTTCCAGATCAAATCAGTTTTATTTTTTTCAACTATTTTTACAAGTATTTGGCGTGAGACCACAATTCACTACTACAAATGTAGCTGATTTGCACCGGGAAGCTTTGAGAAAATATGTTTGCGTAGAAAATACTCTATGTGAGAAAAGGTTAAGTTGATCTTCTTACTTCATTAACTTCAATCTGACCTTTCCACTCGCTTAAATATTTAAATTATTGACAGAAGCGATTTCACAGTACATCACGCTTCTATTCTTTTACAAGTAATTGTCATGGGACTGGCCACATATTGAAAGTAGTCTCTTAAAGATTCCGCCTTTGATGACACACATTTAGCCTCACCTAAAATACTTTGTTTTATGGTTGTCAATTCATCATTTAACTTTTTATTTTCATTTTCATACTCATCATTATTTTTTTTGTAAACACGACCGCCTTGTTTTGACATTTAAGTACTTTTTTACGCCAAAATGACTTCATGAACTTTGTCTTCCAGATTACTGACTGATTTTACCTTCTTTCTTATTCTCTATACACACAGTTACCTTCACCATCTTTAAATTTATTCAGTTTAGGAAATTTAAGTGTTTGTTGTAAATTCAACCACGAATTTAAGATCTTTAAGTTAAAGTTGAGTCTATTTTATAATTTAGTTATTTCCTGATTTGCGCCCTTCAAAGCCAAGATTTTTAAGGTTTGTCTTCCAAAGCGCATTACAGTTAGGTACTTGATAAGAGAAAACAAAAGAAAGTATAGAAAAGGACTCTTCAATAAAATAATTGAAATCCAAATGGAAAATATTTCGTAATTATCTGCGTTAGTTTTACGGCATGTTTTGCCAGTTCTTTCTATAGCCCGTGAAAATTCCTTAACACGAGCTCGATATAACCAATCAAAGTAGTTTTAAAAATTCAAGTATCAGTATTTGTGATGGGAAACAGATTCCATATATTAGAAATATTAATATCAAAGCACATGCATTTGCAAAAAAAAATAAGAAAAAAAAACAATGGATAATGCCAAAAATTGGTAGGTAATGAATTTTGAAATCCACTTGAACAAATGCACGGGAACCATGTTTCGCGAATCAAGTCTTTCCTTTCAAATGAAGCTGTGAAATTTATCAAAAAAAAAAAAATTATATTGCACAAATTGTAAGTGCATGAAAAAATAGTGAGATGCGCATCATAGAGGGATCAACTAAGATATACATATCCGCACAAAAAGCTCCGAATAATCTTTTGACCGGCTGTAAAACCGTTGAGAAGTCTTGATTGCTTGCCAATATACACCTTATCGTAGTGTTGCAACATGAAGTGATGGAAATAAAAAACTGCCAAAAATCGCATTTCAAGAATCGTTGAAGAAGATGAACCGAATTATCATATTTTGTTTTCAGATTGCAACAAACGACCTATCATTTTTTATTACCTTCACTCTTCCTCTATCAATTTTAGATTATAAGTTTCTTTTGTAAATTCAGTTTTAAACTACCATTCAGAAAATAAAACGTGCTGTAAGTTAAGCTTGTTTAGATTTATTTATGTTATTTCCTCTCCCTATTTGCCAGATACACATCTTGACATAATTGTTATTATGTTACTCTTGAAACATCTCAGCAATAAAACTTGTCAATAAATAAATTAATCATTAAAAATAGAGCTTGGACGATGTAACGTGGTAATATCGTTGCAGTCATGCACTCACTCAACACAGATCGATTTGCCCGAAATCTGATACAGTGTTGTCGGTAGATTTTTAGCGCTGATTCCAAATAAGACCTCCATTCCTTTGGATCAGCTCGATTTTTCACGAAAAAATTGGAATTTTCCGTAAAAATTTAGTTTTTCTATAGTAACGTCGATTTTCCGGAAAATCAGTGCACAATGGAGAATAACTAGGGCCATTTTCAGATTCAACAGCCCAAAATTCACAGTAAACCTTTAATACTAATACATCCATATTAAAATTTCCTCTCTGTTCTTGATATCGAGGTTCTGCCGGTCAAATGCTCAGTGCTCCCTTCCACCCTTAAACCACTATGTAAAGCTCATCCAATTTTTTTGCGTCGGGAAGGAAGGGAAAATATTTTTTTCAGATAATAAGTCGGGTTATTTCCACTAAAGTTTTGCAGCTGAGATTAAAAATGACCTTCGTTTTCTTTTTAAACCCTACCAAATTTTAGGAAAATAAATTTTTTTTGAAAAATGCGTTTTTTCAGCTCAAAAGCCTCTCCTTCTAGGAAACATGATTTTTCGAAGGTTTTGGAAGTGAACGAAGGTCATTCTTAGCCCCGACGGTAAAAATTGAGTGG